TCTGTTGCGGGTAATATCTGTCTTTTAACAGTTTTATGAGAATTTACAATAACTCTTTACTAGGTATAATAAAAAGCACACACAAAAAAAGTTTCAATAGTTTTTTTTACTTTTCTAGTAGCTCTATTTTTCTTGTGTAGTAACGGCGTTATTTTCTCGTTTTGATTGCTTATTTTTACTGCTGGAGAATTCTATACTGGTTTTTATGTTTTCTTGATAAATGAATTGCATCTTTTTTATAATAAAGATTGTATTTCTGCAGTGAAACTATATGGTACATTTGTTTATATTTTCCATGAAATATTTTTATTGGATTTCTTTTTATTCTGTATATATTTTGTGGTATATGATAATTACTGCAAAATTTATTTAGAAATTATACTTTGTGCTTAACTTCTCAACAAACTTTTCTTTTATTTTATATTGCTGACAATTTTCATCTATTAAAATGAGTAGTTTGTGTATTAATAGTCTGAAGGAGATTTGCTTGGGGAAGAAGGACTGAAATAATACAATTTTGAAATTTGATGATAGTGTTTACTAGTACTAATTTTGTACTCATTTTCATATTAAAGGTACTAGAATTTTTATAAGTTGCATATGTAATAAAATCCATGTTTTGGAATCATGTTATATATTGCATACTGAGTTCTAATTGTTTTAATTTGTGTCTGGCTTCCTAAAACCTATATCTTTGTAAAATGTGTATATTTTTTATGTGGAACAATTGTAAATGGTATGCCAAAGAAATAAATTGCCAGAAATTTGGTTTCTTATGATGGATAGATAATTAAGATTTGTTTGCATAAATGAAAATGTTATGGAGGTTATTATGAATCTATAGTTCTGCTTCTTATTAAAAATTATTATTTGTCTTTTCTTTTGTGTGTGTGAAGAAGGGGAACAGGAATCCTATATAATGAAACCAATAACAGAATTACAGCTGCTGTGTTTTGGTCTCAGTGATTCCTTTACTATGTGTTATATAAGTTGTTTAATATTGGTTTGAGTACTATCCATTTTTATTATTTTTTTTAAATTTTGGTTTGTTAATGCTATCTCTCTCTCTAATCAGTAATCCACTGAGGTAAATGTACCGCTCCATTGTGAACATTTTCTTTATTAAATAAGTGGATAAATCTGCACCTGCTGTTAATTTTTGACAGAAAAGTTATTAGAGCAGAGCTGTTTCCTTTTATAATTATTAGCATTTACAATTTTGAACAACTTATTTTAAGTACAGAATTTCATGTTATATATCTTTAGAGTGAAAAGGGGGAGTAATTTTTAAACTAGCAAGCTTGTTTCAAATTATATAACTTAAATATCATTCTTTCTTTTATTTAAAGCAAAGTAATCTGAAGAAAATAAATAACTCTTACTTATAAACAACAAACATTTGACCTGAAATTATAAAACCAGATAATTTATTAAATATTGTATTCTTGCAGAAAAATATAAAAATATTTCTTGCATGTTTGCGTAATACACTATTAGAATTTGAAAAATGGGCTAGAGGCTGCACATGGTTGTAATTGCTTGCAGAATTCTGGTACTAACTTTTAATTTTTTTTCTAATTTCTCTTTTTTCGACAAGATTTGCCTTTACAATTTTGATAGTTATACTTAAAGAGGAGCTTGCATTTTGATTAATATCATATAATTTTTAATATATCTTACTGATAATTTTTATAAAATTTTTGGTTTTGGTATAGTATGTGATCTGCAGCTTTTAGTTATGTCTTCCAGTACCTCTTATATAAGCCCCAAACCTGCTATTTTTAAATGTGAAAATAAATACCTATAATTAAGAATGCATGATTGAAAGTGATGTTAATTAATTAATAGTAAATAATTTATAATAAAATATAAATTATTAAATTTATAATTCCATTAAATTTAAATTGCTTCAAATTTTACAAAATTAATGCTGGAGTGGCCCTTAAAAGGTCTATTTTTATGAGTCATTTAGCTTGTATACAGTATGAATGTCATGCAGTATGTCCAAATAGTCCTCACTTCTATTAACAGATGTGCATTGTGCTTCTATGAGAAAGTGTGGAATCATTTTGTGGTGCAGTGCTCCCCATGTATAGAATCTTTAGCTTCAGAATTTCCCAGCCAAATTCAGTTATTTGAGTATTAGCACCATCTGCAGGATTAAAAACGTTCTTTTGTTTATTTACAGTTTGATGATTGTAGGGTAGGATAAAAAAGGGGTTAGATCGCATGCTACATCATTGCAAAAATTTCTTTCATTTTTGTAAATGAAAAGGTATTATTTCTAATGCAGTATATTAATACCTCAGTGTGGAGTATTGATATTTTTAAGTCTCATATTTCTGCTTAAATCTATTGCTGATCATATCTGTTGATATTGTTTCAAAAGTCTTTATTTATAAATTTATCCTGAATGATTTGCCTGAGATTCTGCTGTTTATTATCATTTTTATTTTACAAATCTAAATTTTACTGTAAACTATAGTTTTTTTGTTATTTTACCTTTTCTCTTTTTATTACTCGTAAATCTCTGCTTATTAATAACAGATATGTTGATGCTTGCACATTTTTATACCTCTATTTAAATAGTCATCATAAGAAAGAGTCAAAATGTGTGTGGTCACTTAGTATTTTTATTAACCAACTGTGAGACAACAAGACATCTGTGGATAAAAAGTTATAGCATAATTAAATTGTTCACAGAAGTGTGATATTTTTTAAGAATACTAATTTTTAAAATTTTCTTTAATTTGTTTTATACATAAGCAAATTCAAGTTAAATATGAAGGCTTTATCATGATTTTATTCTTTGTTGCTGAAAATATTCTTATCTTCAGGTTATTTGTTATGCCATAAGACATACTTTCATTTATGATGTTTCCTGAAAAACTTTACTCTAAATTATAATTTTAAAAAAAATTTATTGGGTATCAGTCTGATGTGCAGCTTTATGATTTCAAAAACAGATTACAAACTTTTAAGCAAAAACCAGTTGGTCATTTAAGAATCCATCCTGGAAAATATTCCTATGCTAAGTATGTAACAAAAGATATACACAAAAGCATGTTCTTAATTTCCATTTAAACCTTTCTGATGAGTGATCTTAAGCTTAATAAGTGTGTAACTAAAAACTGTGTGATTACTCAGAAATGAATGAATTGTTCAGAAGTACATTCATAAGGGTCTTCTAATTATTAATACTGCTGAGTGGCATTATGAAGTATGTAACAGACCTTGTAGGAAAGAAATTGAATCTTTAACTTGATTTAAATTTTTATACTAATGAATTATCATATTGATGTATTATTTTTGATAACTAGTATAGACATTAAAGTGCAAAACTGTTATCCTGGTGATGTTTATTAATAATGTTGGGTTTCTTTTTCAAAAGTATGATGTTCGTATTGCGTTAATTATGAAATGCTATCTTTTTTAAAACTAATCAAATATATATTACAAAGTTTAGTTTATTAATTTATTAGTTTAATTTTAAAAATTATTCTTGGAATTCTCTAATATTATTAATAAATCTTTATATTTGTATGATAAATTTGTGTTTTGTGCATGTATTTTTTTATTCTTATATTTTTATATTTATTATAAAAAAGACCCAAAATAGAAAGATGGCCTTATGTTTTTACAATTCTAATTTAAGAATTTATGTCATGTGCTGGTATACAATTAGAGTTTATTAAATTCTGGAAAAAAATTTCATATTTTCATAAAATATTGCACATTGAATTTGTTTGTTACATTTTTTTTTAAATTTATATATTTTAAAATTTTATTTTATAGGTCACCAAATTCCAGTTCGGGGTGAAGTCTTGAGATGTTGCTTTTGTTCATATGTTACGGAAAAGAACCATGATCTTTATGAACATTTGCTATTTCATAAGACATACCCTCCTTTCATATGTGATATTTGCAAAAAAACTTTTACTAAGAAAAATAACCTTAAAGTTCACATAAAGCTTCACTTTCAAGAGCGGCGTCACATTTGTAATATGTGTAATAAAACCTTTTACCGGAAACATCATTTAGTTGAACATATTAGGACTCATACTGGGGAGCGGCCTTTTGTTTGTGAAGTGTGTAAGAAAGGCTTTACCCAGAAACATAATCTTAAAGTTCATTTATGGATGCATAAAAAACCTTACCTTTGAGAAATATGAATAAAATCATTTAAACTAAAATGACATTTAGTTAAACATTTTGGGTTTTATACTGGAAAGAGGTCATATACAGTCAAAAGTTGTTAATTCGGACACCCATAATTCCGAATGATCTATAATCCGGACCTCAAAGCTAAAAACTTTCTGCGCATGCGCCATGTTGACACATGCACATAGGCATTTACGCGTGCACGTAAGCAAGAGCAGAATATGTTTTCGCATGCGCGTTTTATGTATAACGGACGGTGTAAACTAAAATTATCTAATTATCTATCTCAGTTAATGTTGATGATTGCGTTGTTCCTTAATCTTCGAGTTGGATCCGGCTCATTATTTTTTGCAGACTGTAAGAGCAATTTTATAAAAGTAAGCTTGAACTTTCGATTATGTCAAATAGAATTTCCGATGCTGGAGCTCCCAAGGATCTACAAAACGAAAGTACCTTTCGATGTCCATCAAACAAAAAGTGGAATTGCTGCAAAAAAATGGATAAAGACATGAAGAAGGTGACAGAAAGGTTAGTGAAAACGAAAAAATTTCGATTGACAAGTTAGTCGGTATTCTCGGCGCAGCAATTACGGGACTTGAACAGCGGAACTTTGTAACTGAACGAGAAATTATGTCTGTGTATAGAATTAAAGAGAAAGTATTATCACGTAAAAACGAAGCAACTTAAACAATTTACATTGAAAGAAATGTTTAATAAAGTAAACAAATAAATATTAAGCTTTTTTTTTGTAAATTTTGATAATCATAATTGTTCTTTATTTCATAAATTGCGGTTTCATATTTTTCATTTTAGAATTTCTGCATGCCGTCTTACGAGATTTAAACTGATGATCTATAATCCGGAAAAATCGATAATCCGGAATCGCCGAAGTCCCGAAGAGTCCGGATTAACTATTTTTGACTGTATTTGTGAAGTGTGTGTAAGGAAACTTTTAATGAACAACACTATCTTGATAGTCATTTAAAGTTGTATATTATTGCACAGTCATATTAATGTACAGTGTTTGTGGTATCAATTTGAAACGTAACCTTGAATTGCTAAGTTATTATTATGGTCATCTGCATTCACAGTGTTTTTTTTTTTTTTTTTTTTTTTTTTTTTTTTTGTGTAAAAGTTGGAAGTTTGATGTCATATTACATTGATAAAAAAATTATTTTATGTTGCAAATCAAAAATGTATTTTTAGATGTGGTTTTGAATTAGTTCTTGGGGTGTTTTGTTAATTTCACATAAATTTTTCTATGCTATTATAATAGCTTGATATTTAATGCATAATAAGTGAGTAGCAAATGTGAAATTATATATGAGTTAAGACTTTTTGAAGTTTTTATGTCATTTGCTAAATTTGCAAGTCTTCTAAAAATGTATGAAGGTTATTTTTAGAAGTGATTTTATTTCCTTGCATAATTCCTGTTTTCCTGACACAAATTGTGTTATATATCACTTTGTATGGGGTGGAAGCGAGTATGTCCATGACTTTAATTAGTATCAGAAATTTATGAGCAAAATGGTTGCTTATTGTTAAATTCTCTGAAATGTAGAAGAAGGCTGATCGTAATATTTTGTTCTCATGGTGACTTGTTAGATAATGTGAACGTGCTGCTGTTGTGTATGCTAATGTATAAGTGAAAGAATGTTTCCTAAGGATTGCTGCTGCTACCATGCATTTCAAAACTGTTACTCTGTTACAACATGTATTTTCAGAAGTTTATGCTGCCTTGGTGCTTGCTAATTTATGAGAAGTTAAATTTATTGATTGCTTTTTGTGTAGCAAATTTCGCTCTTTTCTTTCAGTACTTTGATACTTATATAGTACTTTGGTACTTAATATTAACACAAACACCTTGGCACAATCCTATGATTTTTTGCAGATGAAAAGGTGAAAGTGGTAGGATGCAAGTTGGTTTTTTTTTTTTTTTTTTTTTTTTTTTTTTTTTTTTTTTTTGCTACTTTTTTCAAAAAAGGTTCTTAAAGCATGGATAATAATTTTAAGTTGGTAAACATTATCAACATAATGAAAAGTCAACATACTTTGATTATTGAAAGTAAGAGTTTTAATTTTTAAATAAGGATTACATGATATATTAAATAAATAAAACACATTTGTCTCCGAATCTTTCTGCATTTTTCTTCCCCCCCCCTCAACTACACAGTAGTGATCTGTTTTCACTTAAAAAAAAGTCGGAGACTTGACGTCGCTCAAACCTTGGCAGCACTGCCTATCTATAAAATGTATCTCTTCAGAGATTTTACAGAAAAGAAATCTGTATTCCTTCAAAAATTTCCCTAGTTTCTTCCATTGTTGACAAAGTCCACAAGCACATGTTTTAAAATTAAGAGCAAAAATACCACGGATTTTCTCTAAAATTTTTTGGAACTTGGAATACAACAAAAAGAACGCATATGAAACTGGCAATGTTGCTTAACTGAAGGATTGTTATGAGAGTGGTCTTAGCAAGGATGCCAGTGTTTGGCACATTCTGAAAATCTCATGACTTCTACTAAGGTGGTTGTGATAACACGTAAGTATTATGATTTTTTATATTATTGAAAATAACAGTATTACAAACAAAAAAAATCTCCCCCCCCTTCCTTTTTGAAACACTGTATGTGCTGAAATTTTAATTAAGTGACTTCCAACACACCGAATTTTAAATTAAAAAAATTCAGCTGAACACTTTTTTTTTTTTTAGATGTCTGAGTATTTCGTATTTCTGATAACTTTTCAAAATGATAGCTTAGCGAGAATGTTTTGATATTTACTAGTGCATATTATAAATATAATGGCTATCCAGTTGATGTTAAATGCAGCTTAATGTGTTTATCTTTCTCCCATTTTTTGTATAATACAGTCAAAAGTCGTTAATCCGGACTCGTCGGGACTTCGGCGATTCTGAATTATCAATTTTTCCGGATTATAGATCATCAGTTTAAATCTCTTAAGATGGCATGCAGAAATTCTAAAATTAAAAATATGAAACAGTAATTTATGAAATAAAGAACAATTATGATCTAAAGGGTATCAAAATTTACTAAAAAAAGCTTAATACTTATTTGTTTACTTTATTAAACATTTCTTTCAATGTAAATTGTTTAAGTTGCTTCGTTTTACGTGATAATACTTTCTCTTTAATTCTATAAACAGACATAATTTCTTGTTCAGTTACAAAGTTCCGATGTTTAAGTCCCGTAATTGCTGTGCCGAGAATACCGACTAACTTGTCAATCGAAATTTTTTCGTTTTCACTAACCTCTCTGTCACCTTCTTCATGTCTTTATCCATTTTTTGCAGCAATTCCACTTTTTGTTTGATGGACATTGAAAGGTACTTTCGTTTTGTAGATCCTTGGGAGCTCCAGCATCGGAAATTCTATTTGACATAATCGAAAGTTCAAGCTTACTTTTATAAAGTTGCTCTAACAGTCTGCAAAAAATAATAAGCCGAATCCAATTCGAAGATTAAGGAACAACGCAATCTGCAACATTAACTGAATTAGATAATTTTAGCTTAGCTTATACCGTCCGTTACACATTAAACGTGCATGCGCACACACATATTCGCAGCCGTAAAGGCGCGCACTCGTAAACGCCTATGCGCATGCGTGTGCGCGACACATGCGCAGAAAGTTTGTAGCTTTGAGGTCCGGATTATGGGTGTCCGAATTAACGATTTTTGACTGTATATAGTTTATGGATTGGTGATTTCTTTTGAACATGTGGATTTATTATTTTTGTTATTAAATTCTTATCATTGGGACTACTGTGTTTTCCACAAAATTTGATGCAACATGTACTGTAAATTTATGCGTTGATGTTTTTTCAATGTAATTACAGATAAGATTTTTTTTCCCACATCTATTTTATGTACACTTTTTAATTTCAAATTTCATCCTTTTGATAACAGTAGTATTGCTACTTTCTTATATCTATTACTGATATGAAGAATTTTATTCTTGTTTGCTGTGTTATCTTGAATAATGAGCTTTACTCCTTCTTTTCAGCAAAAATTAGTTAAATCTCAGAACTTTCTCGGTGCATTTGCTTATATTTTGCCATGAAATATTTTTGTAGTTTTCATTTCTCTGTTTATATTTTATGAATTATATGATAATTGGATGTATTTTGTAATGATATTTGTGTGTGGTGTACTGCTTCTTTTAAATTGGTCAAAGTCCTCTTTCAATAGTAATAATTGGTATGGATATTAACAGTGTAAAGAAGTCTTGTTTAATGGGAAGTGAAGGAAACAAATTTTAAAAACTGATGTTAATGTATGCCACTACTTTCTTATTAAATAGATGCAAATTCTTACAAGTTGCATATCTAATAAAAATTGAATTTTTCAATTTTTTTTTATACTTTAAGCAACTGGGGTCCAATTTGTTTTATTTGTACAGATTTTTTAGTTCCTAATATCCATGATTTCCTAAAATATGTATGTAATTTGTAAATGTAATTTTAAATTGTAAATATTATGTCAAGTAAGCAATTTGCCATATATTTGATTTGCCATAATGGATAATTAAGAATATTAGATTAAAACCAAGGTATTGTAAAGATTGTCTAGCTTTTAGAATTTGCATTTAGGATTCTTTTAAGTGTTAGAGGTTCCACCAATGGCAGAGGGTTAACTTTGCTGAATACCAGGTGTTCAACCTGGATTTGATCCCAGGTGAACGGGCTGGCTACATGAGTTTCTCCATGTGTCATGTGATTAGGAGATTGTGAACTGTATATTATCTTCCACGAAGGCATTCCTTCCCTTATGCAGATGCTTTTTTAGTGTGTTAAGTAAATTGTTTTGCACCAGTGTGTTAAGTAAGTTGTTTTGCATCAATTAAATATGTAATAAATATATCATAAAATTAAATCAGTTGTGAAGTAAATGTGATATGAGACAATTAATAATATAGTAGGTTACAAAGGATAAAAGATGAGCAAATACTTAAATAATAAATTTCATTTTTTTCATAATTATGATACATGCATTTAACTCAATTAATCAATATTAATATTCATATCTGAATAAAAATATTTATCTTAAATAATTTTTGTACAGATATGCAAAAACTAATAGTTAATATTTTTAAACAGAATTTTTAGTTTCATATGTCTTCGCACCAGCTATATTTTGAGCATTAAATTTTTCCTAAAATAGTTCATGTTTTTAGTAATGGCCATTAAATTCTTATATAATTATTTCCAAACCTTACACTTCAGATTACGGAAAAAAGAAATACCAAAGATTAATATGCACTCCTGAAATTTAAGTTTTTTATTAAGAACTGTGGCTAAGAAATAGAATAATGTGTAAGTATTATATTATTGTACTAGCAGCTTTGCTGCCAGTAATTTAAAGCCATTTAAAGGCCAGACGAAGGCTAGCAGCTTTGCTGCCAGCCTTCGTCTGGCCTTTAAATGTACCGAAAAATGGCTGAAGGGAACACCAAACGTTAAATTTAAAAACTGCGTAGAATTTTACTCTGCAGAACAACTTCATAAAAAAATCAATAAAAATGTATTATATATATAAAAAATTACAATGAAATATGCCAATCTCTTAAAAACAGTGACATAAGAAATACGATGAAAAATTGTTGCCAAACTCATGTTTCTAAAAGAATGAAACTATTCAAAATGATGCGATTTCATCAAAAATCTATCAACAACAATAAGAAAGGAAAATTGTTGCCAAAATCACATTTTTAAAGATGTGAGAAGTGTACTCGGAAGCTTCATTTAATTATTTTTTTTTTTTTTTTTTTTTTTTTTAATTACAAAATATCATTTTTCCAAAATTCTTTTTGTAAAAGCATTCGCAAGGATGAAAGTTTAACGTGTCCAAAAATCAAAGAAAAATAAATTGTACATTTTTAAAAATAAACTTTTTTAGAAAAAATCCCGTTGAAAAGGTGTTAAGCTCACTTTGTTAAATAAATTCGTATTTAATCGATTTATTGAAACATGAAATTTATTTTCAGTTCGTAAAATAGCTAAGTGCCTACGTTTCATGACGGTGTGAAAATGAAGTGTGTAGAGTAAAATCTCGCTTTCGTATAGTCTGTTATGTCTCAAAATGACGCAATTTCGTCACGAAACATAAAAAAAAAAAAAAAAAAAAAAATTCGAATTCGAATTTTGAAAAAAAAAAAAAGACGCTTTGAGGTGCACTGGCTCTTGTCTAGATGCACCTATGTACCAAATTTCGTAGCTGTGGGTCTATTAGCTTACGTGCAATGCGAACGAAAGACACTGACACACACACAGACAGACTCTTTCTTTTATTAGATGTAGAGATTTTTGCATGAAATTCTCTTGAAAATTCTTTAAAAAATTATACTTTAATAATTTTTAAACTGATATATTTAACGTAAATATATCCTAAGCAGAATTTTAATTTACCGGAAAAGAATTGTCTGGGCTGATTTTTCGTATAATTTATTAATGAGATTCTGTAACATGATGTAAAGATGCATATATCCTCTCACTAGGATTAGCAAAAGTATAACTCTGACAATTTGGAATTTAACTTCTGTTTTATGATTATTGATATAGTTCTTAATGTCATGGTACTGAAGTTCTGTTTTTCTCATCGCTTGAAAGGTTTAAAATATGCAGAAATTTAAAAGATAATGACAAAAGTTTATGCCCAACAGGAGTTTTAATTTTAATGCACTGTACTAATTTTTTAATTAAATAAAGGTAATTAAGTTTTTTAATTTTATTGATGAATACAAAAAAAAAAGATATATAAATAAATATAACATGTATGCAAATAAAATAAAAATACTTATGACTACACGGAAAAACATTCAAATTTTAGAAATATAAAAATTCGGATTTTCTGATAAATTGATTTCAAGTTTGATAAACTGAATTGTGAACAAGTTTTAAATTAGTGAAGTTCAGTTTCATCATTAAAGTTTGCTATTCAGTGGTACTTATTTTTAAAATTAAAAAAAAATTCAAAAATTTAACCCTTGCATCATTTGTAAGAAAATACCATACGATAATTCTTCTTCCAGAATTGCAATTCGATTTATACATATCTTTATTATACAAAATAACTCCCTACCATAATGAGTCTTTAGAATCGCATTAAATGCAAATGAGGTAGAGAATAGTATTCAAGTCAAGTTCAACTGACTTCGACAGAGAAAGTGAGGATTCCTGAGTAACGCGTGTTTGCCTTTGGGCTACGTCTCTCTAAGCTATATTTACGTTTGGCCATATTACGTGTCTTTTATTAGTTCACTGGCTAATTTAATATTACGGGCCAACTATGTGTTAACTTCGGCCAAACCTCTTAGTTGATCATTAGTTAGTTCTTATTTCTTACTTTTGAATTTAAGCCCAAGTGAAGGCTTTGGTGTACACCTAAGAAAGGGGCTGACTGTTAATCTTATTTTGAGTGAATAAAGGGCAATTAACCATTCTTGAGTTTACGTTTCTGTTTTTGCACTTAACCTTCCAGCGGGCGCGCCTTCTGCACCAACAAGAAAGGTCATGCGTATTTCTTAGA